AAAAATCGCTTGAAAAAAATAAGTCCTGGCAAGCACTAGCGTTTGTTGGCAAAGCTGCTAAAAATTACACAACAGCGCTGTCACAACTGCCGCATCCACCGCTACACGCTTTCTCTGACAGAATCTCGCGCTTTTGTTGTCAATTGCTGTTGTTAGCACCAATGCTACGCTTTAGTRATGTTTCAGCTGCGTTTCAATTTAATTTGGTTGTTTGCTTGTTTGGCGCACCCCTGCGCGCCTTCTCTCGATCGCTATCTCTCACTCACTCTCTTTCACCGTGGCTACACTTCACTGCTCCTACTTTCGGTTTTCCAAAACCAGGCAAATTCAAGTGCTCATTATGCCAACAGGCATTTCTACGAGCACTCGCTTATTTTGTAGATTTTKTTGCCAGTTTTGTTGTTATTGCGCTTGTTATAGCTGTTGTCATTGCTATTATTATTGTTCGTTGCGAAAAAAATTGTTACTTTTCCCAGGTCGCTTATTGAATTGCGCGTTGCGGTGGAAATCCTGTCCTCTTCACACAGCCGYGTGCTTCCTTTGCCGAAAGCGCCACTGCCTTGCGCTCTCCTGTCCTTTCCATTAACACCATGCTCCGCAGCACATAATGAGATGTGCAAGTAATTTGGCTTTCAATTTATTTTCGTTGTTTATTTTAGAATGTTGCTGTTGCTGTTGCTTTTTTGTTTATTTTCTTGCATTGCATTTTTTTTAATTTCGTTTTTTTTTTCATTTTCTACATATACCTTTCTGCCGTGGTTGTAGTGAGCTATGCGCGCGCGTTCGCTGATGTTTAATTGTTGAAAAATTTGAAAATTGCTGTTTGTTATGCAGAAATTGATTTTTATTTGTTTGTCGGACTCAGTTGGTTAGTTGCCTGAAGTATGCTTCAACCGAAGTGTACTAAACGCACATATACACAAACACACACACAAGCACACAAGAGCACACTTCCAAGCATACATTTCACACAGGGGAGGTACGATGAATTCAATTTTAGGCGTGCTTGGGACTACTTGAAATAAGCTCACAGCGGAAATTAAGGTTGACTCCATATAAATACATATGTAAGTAAAAGTTTGCGCTTGTGTGTGTGCAAGTGACAGCTGTAATTAAATTCGTAAAAGCGCTTTCATTGCCACTTTTGTAAATGTTCTCGTTGAAGTTTATAGCCCCCATTCTTATTTGCTAGCGCATTATTTGTTTTCGATTTTCTAGCGAAAATTGCTTAATTTGATATGTTGTTGATGCGCAGGGGAACTGCAAACTTGCGTTTCGCATAGATTTTCAAGTGTGTTTCATGGTAAAAAAATATAATTGGGTATTAGTTAATATTGTTAGTTTGTTCTTCTTCGAAAGTTATATTTCTGCCTTATGTAAAAACTCAAGCCAAATTTGATATACGATTTTTAGTGAAATAAAAAAGGATATAATTAGTTTTTATAATAACCAATTTGTTACGATACGCCAAATTCTGATATTTTTTGCACATTTTCGAAAATTTTCGAACTGTCCCCTTTAATAAAAGCAATTTTTTTCTTAAAATTTAGATTTTTGTTTTATATTTTCGAAAATTTTTCGTATTGGAATTTTAACAATTTTGGGAAATGCTTGTTTCTTAATTAACTAATTTGAATAAGTAAACCGAATTTTCGATTTTTTGTATTGTTTTGAAAAATTTCGAATATGGACTTCAAACAAAAGTTTTGGAAAATATTGTTTCTAATGTAATCACTTTATGATAAAAAATTCGTAGTCTACAAATTTCTGTATTTTTTTCGAAAATTTCCGAATTATGGCTTTAAAGAAAAGTTCTGGAAAATAAGTAATTTGGCTTTGTAAACCGGATTTTCGGTGTTTTGTATTTTATCAAAAAATTTCGAATTTAAACTTTAAACAAAAGTTCTGGGAATATTTGTTTCTTTGTAACCAAGTTCTGAGATATATTTCTTTCTTAAATAACTAATTTGAATTTTTAGAATTTTCGATTTTTTATATTTTTTCGAAAGTTTTTGAATTGAAAATTTGCACAAAAACGCGGGAGATGTTTTTCCTTATATAACTACTTTCTGATATAAAATTCGAAATTTAGATATTTGTATATTTTTTTTTTGAAAATTTTCGAATTGATGTTTTAACCAACACTTTTTGGAAAAAAAATTTTCATATAATCACTTTTCCTACGAAGTCTGAAATTTTAATTTTTTGGATTTTTTCATAAATAAACAACAATAATCGAATTGACAATTTACACAAAAAGTCTGGGAAATGTTTTTCCTTATGTAACTACTTTCTGATACAAAATTCGTAATTTAGACATTTTTATATATTTTTTTTTCAATATTTTCGAATTGATGTTTTAACCAAAACTTTTTGGAAAAAAAATTTCATACAATAATCACTTTTGCTATGAAGTCTGAAATTTAAATTTTTTGGATTTCTTTCATAAAATAAAATATTGCAAAAATTATTCTCACTCACCGGCATAGTTTGACTTCCGTGTAAATTGGTTATGGCGGACTGGGCCTCCTGTTGTGAACTAAATTTGACGAAAGCACAACCTGTAATACACAGAAAAAAAAGTGACACAAATAAATTAGTCGTAGTGTAATTGCCTGCAAGTTGTTTATAAGTATTTTTTATGGCATAAAAAGTTAATTGGAAAATGATAAATGCAGCACACAAAATAAAATTTTAAAGTAATTAAACAAATTTTAAATGATGGGTTTCGAAGATAAGAGCTTTTTTTTCTGAAATAAATAAAATTTAAAGCAATCAAAGTGCGGCTAGTAGGCGCTGCGCAATCACACGTAACGCGCCATGAGCAGTGAGGTGAGAAGAAGCGAGGAAGAGCGGGGGTCTACTATGGCTTGGGTAATTAAAGCGGCAATGTTTTTGAACCATATTTCATTTTTATTGCCACATATTATTTCTTTTGTTTTTGTTTTCGTTTTTTGTTCTTTTTAAGCTGCTGCACAATTTAAAATCAGCTTTCGCCGACAATTTCCACTTGTTGTTTTTGCATGTTGCTATGATTTAAAAATTTCACATCATGCGGTTGCCTTTAAAAAAATACTTTTTTGCGACCAAGCCGCGCCGCTGTCGCTGCCATCGCTAATTATTTTGTAATTTGCTGTCGAGCGTCCAGCGTAAAACAAAAGCAAAAAATAAAATGAAAATAAAATATCACAGAAAAAGCATTAAAAATAAATTTCACATAACTGGTACACGTAATGCTTTAATAACCGCACACGCGCATGCATACATACATACTTATGCATATGTGTGGCTGTGCGCTTGCAACGCAGTCACTCAGTTATTTGTGCGCGAACGTTTTGTGGCCGCAGCTTTATATTACATACAAATGCACATATACATATGTGTAGGTGCGTGTATATGTCTGCACGTGCGCGTCGGAGACCTTCATACCGCATGCATGTGTGCAATTGGCAGTTGGCTTTGACGCTTTTCCATTTTAATTTCCAACGCAATAAAACCTTGGCGGTGACAACAACAACAAATTACTACAACCACAGTGGCAACGGGCAACCACAATCATAGGTTGCATGCTGCTGCAGCTAATGATGTTGCCATGGCAGTGTRTGCGCTGGTTGTGTGTGGCAAGTGACATTGTTGCCGCGGCAACGCATTTGCCTTCAACCGCAAGCTGCTGCCACTACAACAACAGTAACAAAAGTAATAGCGCGGTTCAGCAGTTACCTGACAGTCAATTGCAGCTGCAGCAGCAGCAACAGCCAGCAACAGTGCTGGCGAAGGCGTTCATCTGTGCGGTTCTGCGGTTCAGTGGCGCTCGTCTTCTCGCCTCCGCTTAACGCTTTCTTTGCCTACCATGCAGCGTTTGTGGTTTTGMGCAAAGTTGAGTTTGCTGTAAGCAGTCGGAAGCGGTGCAGTTGCCAGTTAGAGGAATCGAAGGGCTGGATATGAGTGTACGTTGTTGCATGCTGCTAGCTGCACTTACTGGCAGGTGAAGCTTCTGTGGGGAGGTTTGGTGTTTCGGTGACTAATACGTAGTCATAAAGTAGCTGAAGAGGCGYTAGTGGGTGGTTTCTTTTTGGGCTWATGAGTACTGAGGCAATGAAAAGGGTATGARTAGCATTATTTCATTATTTGAGATATGCTTTCCTCTCTTTTCGGCTTCAGATATTTGTGATTTGTTGATATGCCTCTTCCTTTTCATGGAAGAATAAAAGTCATCCGTCTCCGAGAAAGATGGAACCTAAATTTGTACCGTTGTTATTCAGAGAGTCCCTTCTAATGTTCAAATTTGATAGAAAAAAATAATATGATTTCCTACCTTTTGCATTAATGGTCTTCTAATGGATTCATATCGAAATAACTTCAGTATATGTGCAGCTAATATGAAGTTGATGGATTTGTTATGCCTATCAGAGAGTCATTGTTTGAAGAAATTTTTTAGTAGTTTTTCAGCAGTGCAAAGTAATGTTAACTTTTGGTGGCCTTTTATACTGTTTGAGGTGAGAATCGGTCTTAAAAGTGGCAATATCCGATTCTCACCCTAAACAGCATTARAGGGTATCTAAATTGTATGATGGTATAACAGTATTAGGATAATATGTTTAAATATCAACTAAAAAGAAAAAMAGGTTAGCTTCATCTGCATCCGGGCTATAATACCCCTAAGCGTCRCATTTATTATAGCATGAAAGAGTACAAACCGCCTTTGTATTCATTTTGATGGGTCAATTTCCGATCCGATAAGCACATTATGGTTGTGAATTGTAGAGTTGGCTTGATCTATAATCCATACAAAATTTCGTGACGATATCTTATCAGCTAAAAAAGTTTTTCTTATAAGGTATTGGGCTTGATTGGTCAGTTTGTTTGCCAGCTTTATGCTATAATAATCTGATCTGAACGATTTCTTAGGAGATTATTTTATTGCTTTAGACAATAGCTCGTGCTAAATTTCGTTAAGATAATTTTTCAAATAAGAAAATTATCTCTACAAGGTCTTGATTTGATGCAGTCAGTTTGTATTACAGCTATATGCTATAGTGATCCGATCTAAAAAATTTCTGCGTAGTTTGCTTCATTGATTGAGGCAATAATCCGTACCGAATTTCTCGGAAATATCTCGTCATATAAAAGATTTGTCCATACAAGGACTTCATCCGATAGAGTGGCTCGATCTTGGTGATTTTGATAAATAAGCGGCTTCTTGGCAAAAAAACGATGTATATAAAATTCAGAAAGCGATCTAAAAAAAAGGAACTAGAACCCCTATATGCAGTTGAATAGGCGGACCGGACTTGTCAACATGTTTTTTATCAATATAAAACCATTTTATCCCAATATATAACCAGTTTATAACAAAAACCCAGTATGATTCAATATAAGTGGTTTCTTTATATCGTTTTCTATCCATTGCTTTCACTTGTTTATTCACAAATGAGTTCACTAACACAACTTAACCTCACTTTTGATATCAAAATCACATCGGAAATATCAACATAAAACATAACTATTGAGCTAGTAATAATGATTCGCAGAGATAAAGTTTCGAGAAAAAAAATAACAATAAAAATTTATGCACAAGTTATTTGAACAAAAAATATCCTTTAATTACTGYTTATATTAAGTTATTAAATATATTAATCCGTCATGTTTTAATAAATTACTTTAAAAACTTTTTTGCTTGCAACACAGAAAAAAAGTTTCTGCTTCAAATATTTGCACAATTTCCTTTATTACAATTAAGTTTTGCAAATGAAAAATTAATTATCTCCATATCAGCGGGGCAAACATAATGAATGGCAAAAGCATTTTGTTGTTTAATTGTTAAACAACATCATCAYTGTCAACTAAAGCATGAAAATATGCAACAGCAAATAATTTGCAGTTTTAATAAATTAAAATTAGTTTGCAAAAACTTTTCAACATGTATGCACAGCACATAAAGCAGACACAAAATTTTTAATTAATTAAATTAATTACGCAAATTTTGAACAAAAGCATGTGAATATGTGTAAATATATAGAAAACTGTGATAAATAAGGTAAAATAGTAAAGAAAACAATGAGTGCATAGTGTATAGCTGTGTGCGTGTATATGTGTGAGAGGTTTTGCTTTATATGACAGACGCAGGTAACTGTGAGCTATTAGTTACCAAAATGGAAAAAGATGCTGATTTTCCAGCATTTTTGGGAATTTTTCAGTTAAGGGGTTACATTGGYTTACGAGTTTCAAAGAATCGATTTTTAAATTGTCTTATTAAATTTTCCAACCCCCTTAGAATAATGTCCTTAATTTTCAAGTTGATCTGAGTAATTTCGAAGATACAGCCTTGAAAAAAATGTTTCGAAATGCTCACTGAAATTTAAATTTTTCCGAAAATCYATTTTTCAGTGTTTATTTTCTTTAATCCAAATTATTARTTAAGRTTTTGACTAAAACACTCATTTTCTKCTTTTAGAAGGATCATKTAAAGTTATCCTGCCAACGGGAGCCCATCTTTTTTGGAGGGGCMAAACAGAAATGTCGTTAAAATGACGAAATGATGTTTAAATATTTTTTTCGAAAAAAATTCAGGCTTTCTTTGCTAGTAGCGTATGTTTGTAACAATAAAAATTGTAATAAAATATTTTATCTTTTATATGAGACAAAAATGTTGAAGAAAAGCAATTTTTTCTCCGAGGAAATCCATGTAACCCCCTGAAGTTTAAATGAATAAGAAAAATGTACTTATTTTTTTTAAGCCGCCATTTGGTCAAAAGTCAAATTGAATAGTGCTTGATTATTACCTGCATTCATCTAATGTAATAATACTCTTTTTTGGTTTTTGATTTGATAAAATTTTTAAGCTGAAAAATATTGCTCATAGCCAGTGGTGGAATCAAAAAATTTTCAAAATGAATTGCCGGTTATTGTAGTATATTAAGTTCTGTAACTGAACACAGTTTCAATTTTTTTAATACATTGTTGCAGTATTCAAAAAAAAAAAAAAAAAAAAAAAAGGGTGTATTCTGACTTGCTAGTGGGTATAACACCTTCATTTCTGTGAGTGGATTCTCCTTCCCACACTCCATATAAGCCATGCTTGTTTATTAAAAAGTGTATTTTTATTTAACTTGACTGAAGTTTAATTATAAAATTATAATTAATTATAATTATTTAATTATAATTGTCACTTGAAGTCACTCTGAAAGCCACTTCCCGAATATGCAGCTTTTGCAAACAAAAAATATGTTTTTTTAAACATATAATTTTTCGAAATATTTCAAAAATTAAAATTTTGTCACACTCTGTTATTTAATTCTATCTTCTGTAAATGATTTTTGTAATTTCTAAATATATTTACCCATTTCAATCATTTTTGACTGCCAACTTTGTTAACACATCCATCAAAATTTGCTTTATTTGCTTTTTTGTTWKTGGKTTTCCAGTAATTTGAATTAATTTCAAATTTATTAACATGAAAACCCACTAAAATCAGCACAACCTGCAGCTAGTTTGCTAAGTCTGTCGGTTGGGCAGCACCATATAACATTTTGTTAACATACTTTTAGGCGTAAAAGCTTTT